CTTGTTCTAGAACGGGGTGAATCACTGGATCTAATACTTAGCAGCAGCGAGTCCTAGGTGGGTCTGAGTGGTATGAAGCTCAGATCCCACTGCGGTCAGGGATGTCGCTGCGTCCTCTTTTTCCTCTGAGGACTGAGCGAGTCACTCGTGATCTTTGAGGGAACATCTGAATCTAGCCTATGATTGACTGCGTTTTAGGAAGAATATGGCCTTAACAGCTGGCGATCTCGGTGACAGAAGGTTAAAGTAAAGATAGAAAGGGAGATAATAAGAAATATCTGCTACTTACCAGAAGCCTTTTTGACTGTATCCTCTATCATTTGTTAGAAATTCGGTTCAGGGTTTAGCTATGGCAAGCAATGGGGTGTGAGGGAAAGGCTGAAGTCTTCACAAAGGCAATTTTATCTAACTATACAGTTAGGAATAATCTGTCCAATGAGAGGATGGACAAGCACAGATGCTCTTCAGGGAAATAGGGTGGTCAGTGTCCAGGAAGAAAGTTTCAAAGTGTGCTGTCAGGGGTTGGAGCCCTTATCGTCAGAATGGATTCCCTTTGCTTTTATGGTACCCAAAGACTGTCTGTAGTGGCCATTGGCAGCACAGCTTGAACACACAATTGAAGTGGATGTTTTCCTAGAAGTTTCCTCACAACTTCATTTGCGTCTTCAGATTGGGCACGGAGGGGATACTGCTGAGGCCATGGGAGCTGGGGAGGATCCGCAGGAGGGACGATGGCAGTTTGCAGATGCCCTGTGGCTTCATTTCCTGAAGGGCAGCATGGAGACAACATTCAGAGAGGGCTTATGCAGATAGGCAGCAGCACAGCATGAGCCAGAGGTGTCATGGCCAGGGGCTTTGTCCCATGGAAACACAGCCTGGCACGGCACGGGGCTGAAAGCCTGTTCTGGGCCCAACGTAGGGAGCAGGTGTGGGAGAAAGGAGACGTGGGGCAGATATTGTACGCAGGAAGAAAAGCCCAAGATTCAAACATTGGATGCATATTAATTTTATTGTAGAGACTGGAAAGAACATAACGTCAAAGAGGTACTGCAGTCCAAGGCAGGAAGTCGGTGCCTGGGTCTTCAGGAGGAGTGTTTCTTGAGGCATCTTCAAGGCAGTGGCCAGCACAGGGCCCAGTTCAGGGCCATAGAAGACAAAGAGAGCATGGCAAATCAGGACAGAGATTGAGGAAGGAAGAGGAGAGGAGTCTTGCACCTGGGTTTAGCAGGGC